CGATTCTGCCGATTTGAGATGTTAATCGATTTTGAAGATTTGAAAATTGATCTGTACCTCTCGATACATTGATTTTATCGATTTTTCAAGTTTCCTCGTAGCCCTATCTCGATCGACAATAAACTTTCAACACCTTCACCGGATTTCGCTGGTTTTAGATGATTATCAATTTAATCGGCAATTGAAAAAATCTAATTCGAATCTGAATATTTCGAAATGAAATATATATTCTTATTCAATTAATGCCAACCGACTGGTAATTTTGAATATCTCTTGAAACCACAACTAATGAGAGACCCCGGTAGGCGGTGAAAATAGTTCGAGGGGATTGAGTTTACAACGATGATGAGGAATCGGTAATTTGGCCTCGGAGTTTTGTCGTGTCTCCGGGAATATTAAACCCCCTCGGTGTACCAGTTTTAAGTAATCGAGATTGTAAATTGAGGAGGTTAGTACACCAGATCTTCTGGGAGCTGTATCGGATCGGTAGATATTCGTGATTCGTTTTGATTCACCTCGCCTACAACCGGTGGCTCTTGCGCAATTTATCGAGAGGGGAGATCTGGAGCGACTTGACACAGTTATTGGATGATGGGCGTTTCGAGTGAGAGCTCATGAAAAAACACCAAAAATTTTTGGTGAGTGACAAAAACGTTGACTCACCGAAAAACACTGAGCGATGAGGAACCGTTTCACCGGTTTTTTCTTCACGTGCTTTTTCAACCGCTCCCCGATCTTTCGTCACGGCTGACATCCACAACGCACGTGCAGGTGAACCATAAAAAGCCAACTGCAAAAAAATAAATTAAATATATATCAAAGGATTTTCCTGCAGCTGATAAACTCACTCTGATCAATGAGATGTTTATGCTTCCATTGTTGTTGTTACAATGTAATCTGGGGTGGAGGCGCAAATTCCTCTAGTTCAATCATTTTTTGTTTATCCATTTTTTCAGCATCTTTTTTAGTGTTGAACTCAAGGAAAGGCGACGCCACAAAATACATGGCCCTCAGTGACGGCCACATCTATTATCAATTGATCAGGCAGATAATATTTTTCATATGGTCATCTAAAATTGATGGAGAAAAAAAAATGTTTATTTCAATGAAAAATGTGTAGGAATGTTAGAGCAGAAATAATGTGGATATGCAGACCCTTTAGTGACCTTGTCTTGTTAAATTTCCTGAGGCCAACGTGAATATGGAAATAAATAAATAAATAGGGTGTTGATACGTCGTCATCTCGGTATTTCAGGTTGATAAACGGGCTCCGGGACACGTGTGAGCCACGCGTTTTGTTATGCAGAATCGTCATTGTGGTGTACGCCCACGTCACAGACACCAGAAGAAGCGAATGTTTCAGATGTTGGAATTTATGTAGACACATCAAATCATTGTCTCGATAAGATGACTCTGAGGTGTGACCATTTACCTTTCGTCCTAGTCTAATCTCTTGAAAAAATAGGAAAATTCTACTCCATTTTCCGGAGATTGATCTTGAAATATTAGCAATATTAGTTTATTCGACTGCTATTTTGCTACTTGAAATTATTATTTATTTTTCTTAATGTTATTAATAATGTTATTTCTTAGAATTATTGCTTTTTAGTTATCATTTAAATGGAACGAAATTAATTAATTAATGGAAGTTGGGGAAACGCGGAGGAAAATGTCCTTGAATTTTCCGGAAAATTCATCAACTTTTGAAACCAAAATTTTCGTATCTTCTCTGCAAAAATGAGTGGAATTATGGATGAAAATTAAAATAATGATAAAATCGTAAAAATTAACTTTTTATGATTCTGTAAGAACCCATTGAAATAGTGGAATCTTCATCTTTCCACCCCTAAAAAATCAGGTTTTTCATTGAATTCTGAGAGAACCTAGAATTTTTCTCAATTCCGGAAAATCCATCAACTTTTCCAAAACAAATTCACCATCAACCGAATCTTCTTCGTCTCATATCTCCGAACATATGGGAAATATCGGAAAAAGTCTAAAGACCTTTTTTGGAGTGTGAATGAAGACCTGAAAAAAAGGTCCTATAAAAAATGTGGCCATCTCCCCCAGATGCCATGTAATCCTCCGGGACCGGTCAAATCGACCCGTTACCCTTCGCCACTGAATTGTAACCATTTCATCAACAGGTTTATCGATTACGACTGGTCGAATCCCGGAAATGGAAGCTCAGAAAAATGTAAAAGTCGCCGGACCAGAAAATGAGGAGAAATAGCAGAAATCTTGTGCAACTCGTAAATAGTGGAAGCGTCGCCTCTTGGTCCATCAAACTAAGTTGCAATCTGGTGTTGGGGGCGAACACCAGAGTAAATCCTAATAGAGATAGTCCATTAAATCTGGGTCGACTTGAAATGCCTCTAGCTCCATTTTAATCGGAAGGAAAATACCCGATGATTCAAGGGATTGGGCTTTCGCAAGAGGAGTTAAATACGTTTTGAGAATAAATTCTGGTGAACCAGGATCTCATGGTTTAGCACGCGGTAAATCCTAATAAAGCTACCGTGGAAAATTCAAACACCCACCCACATGACGACGCTTTGAGTCACATTTAGTCGAAAGGTCGTGAACGATTCCATAAACGAGAGATCAAATTCTTTCGCCATTCAACATAATATCCAATTGATTCAACGTATTTCGCACACTCATTGAATAATTCGGTTGGTGTTACCAACATTTGGTACACGGTGAGAAATATCCACCAATAATTACCGATCTAACAGTATAAAGTGTGGAATATTGCGCTGCATTGATGAAAAGTCATGTGAAGTACATGAAGAATATTTATAATTAATAATGAATATGTATTAAATACGAGCGGACCGAAAGACAAAGTTCCACACAATTATAATGAAGGCAATTCTTCTATCAGTTCTTGGAAAATTACACTTGAAATATCAATT